ACTAGAGCGCACCTGGCGGAAAACTCGGCTCTTATCTGACAAGACTCGTCATAGGAAATTTCTTCATTACTATCAAAGAAATTTACTATTGTTGTATTAATGGTTTACCTTGTTGTATTAATGGTTTACCCTTGTTTGTTTTTAATCTGTATTGTTTTAATCTGTATTGGCTTAATACTGTATTAAGGGGGGAGGGTATAGGGGTTGATTGTATTGGTATTTTAACATGTTGTTAGCCGCCCCGATAGCTCTCAGAGGGGCGGGGTAAAATACATATTATTATTATTATTATTATTATTATTATTATTATTATTGAGAGGCAATACGTGCAGCGAGGAAATCTTTCTTCTCTGCACGTATTGCATCTGTGGAATCGCATCCAACAGAACTGTTTAGGGTGGTAAGGGAGCTGACACAGGTTCCCCCTGTGCAGAACCCTTTACTTAACCCGACAACAGCCTGTTGTGACATTTTTAACAACTATTTTGCAGATAAAATCTCTCAGATAAGAGCCGACTTGGATGCCGGGATTACAGCAGAATTGACTGATGAGGTGTCCAGTAAACCTATTTTTGAGATTAAACTGGATCATTTTGAGTTGGTGAGTACAGATGAGTGGACAAGATCCTTGGAAAACTGGATCAAACTGGCTTCAGATATGGGGTGGGGACTGCCATGGTCGCTCTGGTAGATGACCTGCGCCTTAGCACTGACAGGGGAAGCGTGACCCAGTTGGTGCTTTTGGACCTCTCAGTGGCTTTTGATATGTTAGACCAGGGGTAGGCAACCTTTCTGAGCCGGGGGCTGGGTTGCTGTCCCTCAGACAATTGGGGGGCCGAAGCACAAAAATAAATAAATAAATAAATAGTTTTTAAAAACTGCACACTCTCTCAGCCCCAGAAAAGGCATGGCAAAACCCCTGTGGAGATTTTGCCAAGAAAAACCCAAGAACAAGTAATAACAACAATAATCAATATCATTATGGCGGGCGGCGGCGGCAGCGGCAGGACCAGCCTGGGCCGGTCCAAAGGCCTCGGGGGGGGGGCGCATCTGGCCCCTGGGCCTTCGGTTGCCTACCCCTGCGGTAGACCATGACATCCTCTTGGATCGCCTGAGAGAGTTAGGAATGGGAGGCACTGTACTTCGGCAGTTCTGTTCCTTCCTCTCGGGCAGATCCCAGAGGGTGAGGCTCGGGGACAGTTGCTCTTCAAAAACAGAGCTTAAATGTGGCATCCCTCAGGCGCCATCCTGTCCCCGATGCTATTAAACATCTATATGAAGCTGCTGGGAGAGATCATTCGTAGACGTGGGGCAGGGTGTTATCAATATGCTGATGACACCCAAATATATTTCTCCATGTCTCGGTCAGCTGCCATGATGACAGATGGCGGTTCTCCCCTCAATCAATGTCTTGAAGCAGTAATGGAGTGGATGAGGAAACACCGACTCAAGCTGAATCCTGACAAAACGGAGGTGCTTACAATAGGGACCCCCAAACCAGTTATTGGGCTGCAACCTCCAGTCCTGGACAGGGTCACGCTCTCTGCTAAGGACTGTGTTCGCAGTCTGGGGGTGCTCCTAGACTCATCGCTTCACATGACAGCGGCTGTTATCAGCTTTAGCTGCACCCTTTCCTGGAAGTAAGGGACCTGGAAACTGTAGTATACGCACTGGTGACCTCACAACTTGACTTCTGCAATGAACTCTACATGGAGCTACCCTTATACCTAGTCCGGAAACTACAATTAGTACAAAACATGGCAGCCAGATTGATCACCGGGAAATCTAAGAGTGATCATATTACACCTGTTCTGAAATCTCTCCACTGGCTGCTTATCGGTTTCCAAGAACAGTATAAGGTGTTGGTGATGACCTTTAAAGCCCTACATGGCTTGGGTCCAACCTATCTAAGGGATCGCCTTCTTCCATATAATCCGCCCCATGCCCTCAAGTCCTCTGGGAGGAATTTACTGCAACTGATAAAAACTAGATTAGCAGTAACCTCCCAGAGGACAGTTTCTGCTGCCACTCCCAGACTATGGAATTCCTTGCCGGAAGAAATCCATAAAATAACCAGCTTGGACGGCTTTAAAAAAGCTGTCAAGATGGATCTCTTCCAGCAGGCCTTCCCTGAATAGATCACCTCACCTAACCTGGCCTCCCTCCTTGTTAGACATCCTCTCCACACTTTTACTGGTGTCCCAGAATGTTTTAATCCAATGCTTTTACTTTTGTATTTTTTATTTTATATATTTTTAAAAGGGGGGTTGAGTGTTATTTATTAGTATTGTTTATTTTGGGCATGTTTTATTTAAATTTAATTTTATATGTAAGCCGTCTTGATTGCCACAGCAAAAGGCAGGATATAAAAATAAAGTATATTATTATTATTATTATTATTATTATTATTATTATTATTATTAAAACATGGGGGTTTGCCTTTGCCTTTCATTGAGGCTGAGAAAGTGTGAGGTTCGATAACAGAGTGGGGATTTTTCACCGTAGTTTCCTAGGCTGCATCTACACTGCAGAATTAATGGAGTTTGACAGTGCTTTAACTGCCATGGCTGGATGCTGTGGAATCCTGGGATGTGTAGTTTCATGAAGCACCAGCACTCTTTGGCAGAGGAGGCTAAAGACCTTGTAAAACTGCAAATCCCAGGATTCCACAGGATGGAGCCATAGAAAGTAGTGCGAAGCTGCATTATTTCTACACCAGCCCTAAAATCCTAGCCAAACACTCAAACTACTGCAACACACTGGTTTCAAATTTTAGTTATGTGCCTTGAAGTTGACTCTGATTTATGGCAACCCATGGCAAGTTTTATTTGGAGGAGGTCTGCCACTGTTTTCTTCTGAGGCTGAGAGAGTGTGACTTGCCACCCAAAGGCTGAATGGACATTTGAGCCCTTGTCTCCAGTACTCAGGCCGCTACACCATACTGGCTCAGTATATTGTCCTGGCTCATATGTCCACTATTTTCCTGTATACAGTCAGACCGCCATATCCACTGCTCCTTTATCCACAGATTCAACTATCCATGTCTTGAAAATATTCCAAAAATATATAAATTCCAAAATGTAAACCTTGATTTTGCTATTTTATTTAAGGGACGACATTTTACTATGCCATTGTATTCAATGGGCCTTGGTCCTGGAACCAAACCCCAGCGTGTACCAAGAGCCCACTGCATTTTAGTTTTTCTATATGATGGTTATTCACCCTGAGTGATGTATAAATACTAAAGAGAAAAATACAAATGTCTGTATTTTGAAAATATCGATTAATAAATCAGACCACATGATTACTAATTTGCTCTTCTCAAGGGACCACAAATTGGTCTTAATCCCAGTTCTATTCATTTCATGTGAGCCAGCATGGCATAGTGGTTTGAGCATTGGACTATGACTCTGCAAACCAGGGTTCAAATCCTTGCTCAGCCATGGAAACCTTGGGCAGGTCACACCCTCTCAGCCTTGGGGAAGGCAATGGCAAACCCTCTCTGAACAAATCTCACCAAGAAAACCCTATGATAAGCTCACTTTAGGGTCACCGTAAGTCATAAACGACTTAGACATTTAGTTTATTAATACCTCTCTTGCTTTCGAAATATGGGACCTCAGATGACCGATATAAATTTTGGATGCTGTGATGCAATGTAAATTCAGTAGAACTCCAGAAGGGACGAAAAGAGCCAGAATAGCAGAAGGAGGGCAAAGCTATTTTCCATGAATGTAGTGGGCCTTTGTGCAAAGCAAGGGTAACAATTGCGTAAGAAGGTCTCCGAGGACTCCTTGTGCAAGCTGGTTAGAAGTACAACCACTTGCATGGGGTGGCGATGCCCAAAATGAAAGATGTTTTGGATGGGGTGGCGA